CCTGCTCTCTCCGCGGCCATGTGGTCCGTGCTGTGGGCGGCCGTGCGCTCCAAGGCGCCCTACGTCACCTTCCCGGTGGCCTTCGTGGTGGGGCTGGTGGGCTCGCAGCTGGAGTGGTTCCTGCGCGGGGACCCCCCGGCCACGGCCCAGGACGAGAAGAGCATCTCGGAGCTGCGCGAGGACCGCAAGCTGCAGGAGATCGCGGGCGAGGACCTGACCAAGGTGGTGAGCCTGAAGGACAAGCTGGAGTTCGCCCCTCGGGCCGTGCTCAACAGGAACCGCCCCGAAAAGAGTTAATAAAGGGTTGCCCGGGGCAAAGGCCGTGCCCTGGAGCGGCTGCCTGCACTGCCCTGGCGCTGCACGGCTGCCATCAGCCCTGCTCCTGCACCCTGCGGGCCCTCCGGGCTGCCCACCCCCTGGATGTGGCCGAGGAACAGCCCCCAGAGCCCGGGGAGAGCGGGCAGGGGGCCCTGCGAGAGCCTGTGCTGTGGTTGGAACTCATCAGCCCCCGGCCCGGCCTGGCCCCTGAACCACAGAACCCTCCCGGCCTGGTTCCGCCTGTGTCTCCTCAGGTTTGGCTCCTTCCTTGGCCTGAACGTAGAAGAAGGTTGGACCTGAGTGCCGTGAGATGGGGTCAGGCTGAGCACCGGCAGCAGGAGGGTGCTCTGCTGCCCTGCTTCCACATCCCCTGTGGCTCTTGGTGAACCCCAACACGGCCCCATGCTACCCTGTTACACCCACGGGAGCCTGAGCAGTGGTGGAGATCTCTGAGGACCCGTCTCTGCATCGTCCCTGCGAGGAAGGGTGACAGGGGCAGGTGGGAGTCCTGGCCCTGCTCCATCATGGCAGTGTGTGGGGAGCAGTGACAATAAACTTCTGTCAGTCCTCGGGCCTCTGTGTCTTCTGCATCAGCACGGCCCCAGCCCTGGCTCACGGAGTGTCCCTGTGTGTTCAAGAAGCGACTCCTGCAGTGGGACAAATGCCATCGCTGTCCCCAGGCGGGCACTGCTCTCGGGGCCTGGCAGCAGGGTGGTGGGCAGGAAGGAGGGGGAGGCACCGAAATCCCAGCCCATGCTGCGGCTGTGCCTCCCTCCTGGCTCCCCCGGCCGTGTCATCTGCTTCCCGTGCACCTCCTTATCTCGGTGACAAGGGCTGCGTCAGTGCTGCGTGGGGTCCCAGGGGATTGGGGGGATCCTGCTGGGGTGCTGGCCAGGGAGAGGACTGGTGGCTGGTGTCCCCTCCAGCCTCGGGCATTGCTGGCAGAGCAGGGACAAAGCCCAGCCAGAGGTGCTGAGCAGGGGCCAGGACTGGGGTTATCGCTGCCTCCCGGCTTGTTTTTTCCCGTGGTGCCTGAGCAAGGCCCCAGTGCTGCCCCAGCCCGGCCTTCCCCTCCCGGGGACCATAAATCTGCCATGCCCGGAGCAGAGCCCCGAGTCAGCAGCCAGTCAGCGTTTCACACACACCGTCCTGCAGCCTCGGGGCCAGCTCCTGCCCTGCTGACAGCTTTACTGCCCTGCCCCGGCTCTCTCTGCCTCCCCAGCTGCTGTCCTGGGCTGGATCGCTGCCCTCGGCCGGGCTCACGGCCCAGGAATGCTCCAGCCTTTGCCACCACGGTTTGCTGAGCCTGGGGGAGAAGGTGCAGGAGGAATCTGGGGGTGATGCAAAGCCTGTCCCAACCCTGTCCTGCTGCCACCTGCCCTGGGGATCGCAGTGCCACTGCCTCATCCCCCTGCCAGGCTGGCACTGTCCCCTGAAGTAGCCCCTGTCCTTGGCCGCCTGCTTTCCCAGCCTGGCTGTGGGGTGATGGCTGGTCCCTATTGTGTGCCGGGGTGGGAACGGTGCTGTCCCTTTCCCCAGCTGGGACCAGCTCGGAAGCGGCTCCAAAACGCCTTTGTTCCCCCCGCGCCAGAGTGGCTGCCCCGGCTGTTTATAGCCCATTGATCCGCCTGTTCCCAGGGCTGGCCGGGCACAATTGGGCTTTGGGGGGGCCTCGCTGCCCCGTTTCCTCTCCCGGGCCCATGCGGTGCCGGTCGGGGGGGCTGCTCCAGCGTGGTGGTGGAGTGATGTCCTTGGGAAGGGCTGAGCCCTGGTGGTGACGGTTTGGGTGCTGATGGCACCTGGCAGGACAGACCCTGCCCTGCGCCTGTCATGGCTGCCTGTGGTGCTTCCAGCTGTTTTCCGTGTGTCAGGGGACTCCCTCTGTCCCCCTGGCTGTGGGGCTGTGGATTCGCTGGGACAGGGGTGAAGCTGCTTCCCAGAGCCCCGTCGCCTTTCTCCTGAGCCCACCCTTCCTCCCATTGAATCCCAACAATGTGCTGCCTGGGAAGCGCCAGCGGGACAAGAATAG